TTATTTTTATTTAAAAGCTGACAAATGAAAATTAATTGACAATGAGTAAAAAAAAGTTGTTCAAAGTTATACACTACTTTGAAAAGTTCTATTTGGTTGATCTAAATGTGAATTCCAATACTATAGTTGAACAGGAAATTGCTTTTTGTTAGAAAAAGGTATTTTCGATAAAAGAAAAAGAGACTCCTTTTATGGGCTGCTTTTTTTTGAACGAATTGAACGTAAAAAGCACATGAGTTGCTTGAGATAGAAAACAGCAATAATGTACAACATATTTGACGAGTTGAATTAGACGTTATCGAATAAGTCGACTTAACAAATTTGATATAATTCTCTGATACTGAAACAATAATAATTTACAAACTCACCATTACATTCAAGTACTTCTTCAAGATATAAAAGGTTATCATTTTTGGGACTAGAACGAAAATGGAATTTCTTGTACCATAGTTTCTTGGCATGCTTTACGAATCTCTTCGTGTTTAGCTCTTCCTAAGTTTCAACTTTCATTTTCTTATCGACATCATAAACACGAGCTACGTGTTTTTTGGAATATAATTTTGCGCTGAAAATTGATACAGTGGAACCACATTAGCACTTGGAATCATATTGGATCGAGGGGATGGGACTTGCAGTTGAAGATGGACGGTGATGCGTTGGAGTTTAGGTAGAAGATGACGCCTGAAACGACAGCAGTGAAGTAACAAAATGGTAAATTTGGTAATATGCAAATATTGGACATTGCAATGAATAAGACTTTGAGTAATGTCGTTTGTACCCCGGCGTTTACGCTCCCGGTTACACGGCTCCACCGCCCCGACGTGGGACCCGACCCCCATGTGAGGGGCGAGGTGGGGCCGGGTAACCGGGCATGTAAACGCCCGGGTACGAATAGCGTGGTCCTAAGATTTTAGTTTCTTTTTTCTTTATAAATACTGTCCAGTACTGTAGATCCACTGTACCAAACACAGCTAAACATATTTTCTTTTTGTAAATAAGGGGGAAATAATAGATAAAATGTGACAAACTACAACAGAAAAATGGAAAGGGAGTTGGAAGCAACTCGAGGTGCTGATGGCGATTTGTTTATTGATTCGAGACTCTGGAACCTTGCTTTCGAGACTCAACTAAATCCTATCAAACCCTTGGAATGTGGAGTGTGAGTATTGGGCCTTGAAAGTTCACTTGAAGATGGAACCTACAACGGCAAAAAAGTGATGATCAGAAATGAAAGTCATGAAAGCGCGAGTCTACATAATCACAACATAGTGCTCTAAAAGAAATTTATTTTCTGAAAGGTCAAAAAAAAGCATAAATCAAATAGGGACCTGGGTTTTAACTGATCCCTGAAACTTGGAGCTGGACATGGCACCAAGCATGAAGTATAATAGAGAAAATAATGATTTCATTGTGCAATTAAATTGATTGGAAATGCATCCAAGTGAACGAGCTTTCCTCCAGGATCGAGTGAGATAAAATGTATATTCACTTATTTGGCGTGTCAAAACTGTATTTCTGTATCAAGTGAAACTCTATGTCATACAGATTTTTGCTGATCAACACTAAGAATCAAGTGTGTTAAGAATCAAATGAGTTGGAATGACATGCAAGAGCAAAAAATTCATCATAAGAAATTACGATACAATAAATTTTACACCACAAACTAAACATGTGTAAGAAAACAAAGGAAATTGTACACCCCAAAGGCAGTACATTTATGAAACGCTATTTAAATTGTCACTGGCAAACCAAGTTCAATAGCATCATATATGATACTATCTCAAATACAGACAACCCTGGACCATCTTAATCCTAGAATTTCAGTGAGTCGTGAACCGTAGACAATGTTCAACAAATTCAGAATCAGAGTAGAGTGTACAAGGAACCATAATAAAACACACTAATTATAGAGAACAAGATACAATAGATGCTACTCTTTCTTGCCTCGAGAACCAAGTATGAATCTAATGCCAAGAACACAAAAACTAGAGAATTAATTATATATTTTTCATGAAGTTCATATCTACCTTAACCTTCTTCCAATATGCTAGTTCTCTTTGAATGGCTTGCTCCAACAATGCATCTATTTTTTCACCTTCGCCCATGTCTCTTCCGCTCGAATCTCTTTAAAAAATATTTAGATCAAGACGATTATAATTTGAAACAAGAAATATGTTAGGTAATTTCTTATCAAACGACCCCCCTGGCTATGATGTTATTCGACTTTAGTTTTCAGTCGGCTTAGCTAAATGTCTGAACGAAAATTATAACACCACAATTGAGATGTCACGACTCAAACGTTAATCGAGCCATTCGAAGCAATCTAAATATTTTAGTGTTACTCATGGCCCAATCCGCTTTCTTGGATGGCCATAATTGAAAGAGATTACTTGGGAGCCCATTTGTCTACTTATTGGACCTCTACTTTACCCAATAATTCACCTAATTCTACTTACCATACTTGGGCCACTTTACTTAATATATTGGATCTCCCTTTCTCTTTGCAAGAGAATCCGTCCCCTGCCTCTCTCTCTCTCTGTGATTCGGCCATTGCAATTTCTTCTGCTCTTCTGCCTTCTTTTGGTTTCTACCTTTAGTGGTGATTATATATGAGATTTGTGCGCCTTTGTGGTCTTCTAAGTGAACTATCTCATTGGCAACCGAAAATGGAAGTTTGGTTATTGTCTTGGGTCGTTGTTGTTAGGTTGTGGTGTTTTTGGTTAGAAGAAACTAAGCATGGGCAAAACTTGGTGATCAACATACGTTCAACAAAATGCATAATGTTGTAGTCAAATAATTTCCATGAAGCAATTAAACTCAATAAAATGCTCGAAAAAATCCATATACATTTTTCTTCTGAAATTTTATGCAATTCAGAAAATATACACAATTAATTGCAATTTTAGAGAGAAGAACACAAGTAAAATTTGGAAAAGTACACAGTGAGAATTTAGACTGGCCAAAGATCAATACAAAGATAATTAAGTGAAACAACTGAAATTATATTTTATTTGCTCTGTATTTGATAGAAAAACCAGCATATTTACAAAGAATTATAGTTGATGCAATTAAGGTTTATGGAGAATCAAAGAACAGACAAGTACTTGGAAATGAAAATACATAAGGTGGTTGTGAGAGTAGAAAAGGACAAAAAGTAACAAAAATCAACTTTACTGATATGTATATGCCTGAATTTTCACCAAAGAATGTATAATAAACAAGATTTTTTCCTTTTTTTTCTTTCATAATATTGTCTCATACTATTCAATGTACTCGATTAAGCATTTCACAGAGATGTTAAAAACCTCAGAGTTGGAATGGCGATGATGTCGACAGGCACGTCTGGAGCTTGGCCTTTCAAGCCAACAACCTTTGTAGATTTTTTATTTATTTATTTATTTATTTTTTACCTCTTTATTGAAAAAGACAAGAATTTAAAAAATTGTAAAGCCCAGTACATTTTATGCCTACTGGTTGAACCCAGTCTCGCATTTTTCTAGTCTGCCTACCAAGTTGCCAAAAGATAAGTTTTCCTGATCATCTACAATTACGCACGTCTTGATGGACATCTTCTCGAAACAAAATTAATTTGTTTAAATAAACCAGATTAATAGTTAATTATATATAGAACTTGTAAGACATAACGAATTATCAACCTTATAATTAATTGAGAATGAGTAAAAGAAGATGTTTCAAAGCTATACACTACTTTTGAAAAGTTCTATTTGATTGATCTAAACGCAAATTCCAATACAATTGTTGAAAAGAACATTGCTTTTTGTTAGGAAAAGTTGTTTTCTGTAAAACTTAAAAAAGAGTTAAACTTAAAAAAGCACATGAATTGCCAGACAGAAAACAACAATAATGTTAGTTGACCACTTGACAAATTTTATATCCCTCTCTGATACTGATACTGAAATGATATCGATTTACAAACTCAACGTTGACTTCTTCAGGAGATAAGAGGTTATAATTTTTGGGAATAGAATGAAAATGGGATTTGTAGCACCATAGTTTCTTGACATCCTTTACGAGTCTCTTATTCTTTAGCTCTTCCTAAGTTTCAATTTTCAATTTCTTTTTGACATTGTAAACACGGGCTATGTGTTTTTTCCCCTTGAGGTGAGACTTAAAACAGTCTTCGTTCATGCAGGGAACATGACATAACTCACACCACAGAATCATCGCTCCATTCTCTCCACCATTTTTCTGGCCGAGTTCCAATTCATGTAGTTTGGCCTTGTGTTTCTTCCCTTTCAAGTGCATGTCCAGAGCAGTTCTGTCTGGGCAGAAAATTTTACAGACATCGCATCTTGGTTGACTGTGTTGATTCTGTTCTTTGCCGTTCTTGTTTAATTGCATCCATTTCAACTTCGCCTGGTGAGTACGACCTTCTACGTGCTGCTGAAGAGTTAATGCACTTGAGCAGCTAACTTGACAGAGATCACAGGATAAATTCCTCACCAAATTGTTGGTGATGTTAACATTACAATCTGTTGCTTTCCTCTTTAAGCAGGAGTGTGTTTGTATAACATTTAATCTTGATCTGGGGCATGGATTCAGGGTGGGAACCTGATTTTTCACTGAAAGTTGATATGGTGTAATCACATTAGCACTTGAAATCAGATCGTGTCTTGGGCCACGACTCAAAGTTGAAGATAGATTATGATGAATTGGGATTTCAATTGAAGGTAAAACCTGAAATTGGGAATAAGTTAGTTAAAAGGCTTGATAAAATTAAACTAAAGGGTAAATTTGACTGACATAAGATTTGAAGGTAAAAACAGAGTAGGATGGTAACAACTTGAGTCGAAGATGGTGGTTTTGAGACTGAATCAAATCCTATCCAACCATTGGAATGTGGAGTCGGAGTTTTCGGCCTTGGATGTTCTCTTGAAGATGGAACCTACAATGAACGAAAAGGGTGCTGGTCAGAAACGAAAACATGAAGCATTAGTCCAATGTAATAATATCAGAACACAACATAGTGCCAAATAAGGGGGAAAAATCAATCAAACTGGGATTGATATAGAGAACAGAGCAGTTGCAAACTTGCATTTAATGTTGAACTTGATCCTCTCCTGTTATTCGGCATTGGAGATGAACTTGAGAATCTCGGAGATTTAATTGAAGATAACACCTAACATGAGAAAAAAGCTAGTTAAAAAAATGAAATGGCGATTCTAAAGCAACAAATCAGTAACATGATGGATAAAGGTTGAGTCTGGAACAACTTGAGGTGTAAACTCCCGGTTGCGACGTGTATCTGAGATTGAACCTCGGGGTACCCAATCATTGAAACTTGGAGACGGACTATAGGATTTCTTGACTTCACTAGCTGAAGATGGCGCCTAGCATGAGGAATAATAGGGAAAAATGGAGACTTCACAAGCAATTAACTGATTTATAATGCATGTAAAAGCATAATTTTTCTTCGATGAACCACGATAAAATTTCAAATACATGAAGTTTACAAACTTTGAAACGATAACAGTACTCGAAATAAAACACATGATCTCAAGATTCTCAACATAATTTATATTTCTTTGTTGCAGACAAGGGCAGAATTTTCATGAAGTTCATATCTACCTTAATTTTCTTCTGATATGCTACTACTCTTTGAACGGCTTGTTCCACCAATGGATCGACCGTTCTAACTTCTTCCATATCTCTTTCAGTAGAATCCCTTCAAAAAAAAAAAAAAAAAAGGAAGAAGAAGAAGAAGAAAA